TATAAAAAGTTACTAATGTTTGTGATGTCTAATAAATATCATTAGGTTAGTTATGAAATATACTTTCATAATAAAATTATTTAGAGATACAAATATGGATATTGTTTTTATATACTTAGTCAAATATAAAAAGAGTTTAATTTTTAATAACCACGATATACAATTATTTTGAGACAAAGGGAGTACTCAATATTACACCTGCTAAAGTTTTCCTGTCACATTGAATGTTTGATTACTAGTTAGGAGTATTAAGCATAGACTAATTACAAAACTAATTGTACAGATGGAGGCTAATTTACGAGACGAATCTATTAAGCCTAATTAGTCCATGATATGATGATGTGGTGCTACAGTAAGCATTTGCTTATTACATTCGTCTCGCGAATTAGCCTCCATCTGTGTAATTAGTTTTATAATTAACTCATGTTTACTCCTAATTAGCAAATGTTCGATGTGACCAGGAGTAAACTTTAGTCATGAATTCAAACACCCCTCAAATGCGTGGGTGGTGCTGGCAAAAAAGCACGCACGCACGAGCAAGTGTGTTGGGGCCACTGTCGTCTATCGAGAATCTCTGGTTATTTATATTTATGCTAGGTAGTGTGCCCGTGCGTTGTTACGGGATAGCTAATAATTTATACTAAAAACACACGGATCGCAAGATAAGATAATAATACTGTAAAAATTAAATATCAACGTTAAAATTACAGTTAATCCAAAAGGCAAAGTTTGTGAAATTAACAGTCACGGAGAGCGCGGCGTCACATGCTTACAAACTCTACTTTATAGACCTTTCCGTGATGCGCCTAAGATAATATTTTATATCGGCAGAAAGAAATATTCGATATCCATTTCTTTCGTGCATTTAGGAGGGCATTGCAATGTGGCTAGGCAATGAACACCTGCGACCTTCTACCTGGGTGCTAGGAGACTCCGTACAAACTTGGTGGGAAAACCTAGATCGAACACCTTCGACGACGAGGCAAGGACTGCGCTCTATTATCATTCTTGTTTGTTGGGAGGTGTGGAATGAAAGAAATGCAAGAATCTTTGAGCGCAAAGAATCTGCACCAACGCATCTCCTCTAGAAGATCAAGGAAGAGGCTGACTTGTGGGCAATGGCAGGAGCAAAGCATATCTCCAATTTATTATTGCGCGTGTGATTTGAGGCCACCTGAGATGGGCGCGTGTCTGGCTTTTGCCCTCTTGTACACATTTGTATATGTTTATACAGTGCCTTTCTAGGCTCCCTTCTTTTTACAATAGGCAGCTCTCCTGCCGGCTCCATTTCAAAAAAAGCAAAGTTCGTGAAATTAACACAGTCACGGAGAGCAGGCGTCACAGGCTCACAAACTCTACTATATAGACCGTGCGTTACAACGGAATGCCAGAATATTTCATGAGATAATATATCTTGTAGATCAACATCAAATTACCAATCATGAGTACAATGCGGCTCAAACTTAATCAAAACTAAGATACTGATATTTTGGCTAGGTGATCATGAGCACAAGTTTGTTTGACAATGCTAGGAGATTAGCATATCATGCATTCTATATTTGTATGGAAATCCAACAGACATTTAGTGGCTTATGGAAAAATAAATAAATTCAGAAGACCATAAACGCATAGCAGACATTTTTTTGACCAAAACTGCAACCAGGCACTAACCCGACAACTGTTCGGGAACACAAACACCGTGATCCTAAAGCCCTAAGGCCCGAGGCATTACGAGCAAACAACATATTTATCAAGGGTAGAAAGCATTCAAGTCAGGTTGAATTAATGCTTACAAAGGTTCCAAGTACTAAAATAGAGTTCCAACAGGTGCGGATTATGTATATACATTGACTTAGGTAACAAAGAAACTAAAACGGCAGCATGATTCAGATGACAGCAAAAGGGTAAAGTGATCTTGCTTAATATTGCAAAGAGCTTCACGCTAACTCACATATTCGGATATTCCCAGATAGGTAGGCTCGACGGGACCTTCGGCTGTCTACTTTCATCTGTCCATGGTGTACATGCAAAGACAAAAATACTCTCAATTCTCAAAATTAGTACCCCTATTGTGTCGCTGGAATGCCCCTCAAGATGACCTGCTGATGTGCAGATATCAGAAAGAACACATCTTCCTGAAGGCCCTTGGAAGTTGGAACTGATGATTCCAAGAAATTCAGACTGAACATGTTGTGAACTTATCTAGAATATATCAGCATGCTGGTTAACTGTTCAAATGTCAGCATGCATGTATAGCTACAAAAAGAAAAAAAAGACAGTAGTCCAGCACACAAAACAATTTCATTTTAATTTTAGGATTCCATCAAATCCTAAAAGAATCCTAAAAGGGCATAAATTCAAACACTTTACCAGTTTGCAGTACCTATAAAATGAGCTGGTTCTTTAGACTCAGTAACAAGTGACATACCTTTTCTGAAATGAAGATCTCAAAGTGATATTAAAGGGCTTGTTTGTCGAAAGCAAACTTTAAACCAGTTTCCAAATATAACCCAGGAGAGCTCCAGATCTGTTAACATATAACCATTATTCATGGAAAATATATATGGAAAAAATAAATCAAGCCGAAGTGTGACCGATGTACTTAATTAGATAGCTAATTCATAAATACTTACAAATCGGTGACATTGAGGTCCTTAATTAATTTGCAAAGCATTGTATCAAAATTAGGTATGTCAGCTAGCTTAACTGCAATTGAGACACATTAATGTCAGCCATTTGCTCTAAATAGAGAAGAATCGGATAAGGGCTTGAGAGTTCCTAAAATAACGAACAAGTACAACTGGGACAGGAAAACTGATTCCTCAAACAGGTAGCAATTAATCATCCATACAGTCAGAGACTTTGTTCCCAAGCACGCAAGAGCCCAGTCCAACCAACCATACCAATTCACACCAATGAGCTAAATTTAGTGATGGATTTGGGTAACAATCAACTCAATGAAAAACATATACAAGAGACTGACACATAGGATTTGATATTTTCATACAAAAACAGTAGGGTTAGATGATAGAGATGAAGCAAACAGCTAGAATACAAAATCAGTGTAAACTTGGTAACCTGTTTGTCAATCTATGGCGCTTTTTTTTTCTTCCTACCCTACCCAATCCCAGATAGGATATACTGAGGTACTTAGCTGCTTTAGATAATCTTTTTATTACCTGGTTTAGAAAAAAAACAAATCAAGGCCCACTTGGAATTTAAATGGATTTGTGTACTCCAACAGTCCAACATGGACCACGACGGAGGCTGGATGAAATCAGAAAGTAAAATAGTAGCATTATATAAATTATAAATCGAAAAGTATAGAAGACCATGAAATAACATTTACGCTCACCATATTGATCCATGTGAGCTGACCATTATTCTAGACCACCATTAGTTGTAGAATATGAACGCTAGACAAACTTCTTAATAGAAATAAATTGGTGGCTCTTATTTATAATAAATATAATATTCTAAGGTCACCATTAGGCTAGAGAAAATGTGAACATGATTTGAGAAGGTCACCGTCGTACCACTTTTACCCCTACACCCAGTGGACTACACACGACACACAACAAACCTATAAACCTACAACTGTGTCGCTGACTAAAATCTTCCTCTACCCATTCCTCGCCCTCGGACACTTCCCCTGCCTTGGCCCGGCGTCGAAAATATCTTCTACCACCACCTGCTTTATCTGGGCCTCTGAAGGCGAACATGCTCATCCATAACGTTCAACATATGAACTCTCCGCCCCACCACTAAAAACATCTGCCCCACCATGAAAAACATTATATTGACACTGAATTCAACATTCTGACATTGGTGTTGTAAAAAATCTAGAAAGTTATGCATCACCACAACAGAGAATCAAACTAACATGCATATCTAGGTGTTCCTGCAGTTGCCTTGCCAACTCCTCACCTCGAAACCGGTGGCTTTCCTCTTCTCCCATTCATCAAGGGTACCTGAGCATCTTCTTCCTTAACTTTGCCCTTGACAAATTATAACGAGTAAATTGATATGAAAGGTAAGGTTTTGGAGGGTCACCTATATATCTTGAGCAATTTGCTTTGATTTACCTTGCTTTCAATAGTGTCTTTGTTCACATTGTTCAAATCCTCATTCATTTGTTTGCCGTCAGAGTTAACTGGCACATGGTCATGACCAACTGCCAACTTCCTAACTTTATGAAAGGAAGAAAGATCCAATCCGCCCCCACTAAATTCACCAGAGAAAAAGGGATTAAGTTCACTGTATTTGAAGCCTATATAAGTTTTGCTTTTTCAAAAGAGAACAGAAAAGCATGGTTCGCTATTTCAGAACAGGACAGAAAAGCATGGAAGATCATTGCATTACATCCTTGCCGGGAGAAAGCCGGAGGGACGGGATCCGGCTGCAAGAGAGGCGGGACGAGTTCCCAAGCAGGCAACTTTCGATGCAGGCGACGAGCACGACGTACGGCATGGCTCGGATCTTACGACGCAGACTTTAAGGGGCATTTCATTGAAGGGCTTACCTGCACGGAAATAGTGTCTGTGAGTTGAGCACACTGGCGCATGAGGAACGGGGGAGGGACGGCTTGGCGGTGTGTGCTCGCCATGGTTGCAGCCGCAATCGGAGCCCTATAGATTAGCCATGGCCGCCGCCGCCATTCATGGACTCGTGGCCCTGGTCTCCGGAATGCATAAGAGGGAGAGGGAGCCAGAAGATGATCATGTACGCGAATGTGGTGACGCGTCGAGAGGGCGGCCACGGCATCGATCTGGCTGATGACGGCGCCGATTCGACCACCTCAACACTGATCCAGTTGGGGGAGATGAAGGGGCGGCGCGTCCACGCGAGGGCAGCCACGACGTTGATCCGGAAGACGACGTCGATCTAGCCGCCCCCACGCAGATCCAGCCGACGGAGGCGGCCACGACGCCGATTCAGGAGATGGCGTTGATTTAACCGAGGGAGACGGAGCGTGCGGCAGTGGCGCGGTGAGGGCGACGATGGGGCGCGGTGGATGCGTAGCCGTGCAGATGAACGACGGGAGCGATCCTTCCTTTTCAAATCACGCGAGCGAGGTTTGAGGAGTAGCGGTTTCGATTTAGCTCTTTCCTTTTAAATATCACAAGGGACGGCCACGCGTCGGAGCGAGGATGCGGGAACGCAGCAGACAGGATGATGGACCCACGTTGGATTGTCGTATCGAAAAGTGTTCACGTTTTGTTATTTTTAGTTGTCAGTGATTTATTTTTTATAAACAAAATTAACGATGCTGTCCAGTTGGGTAATGTCAAGCTGTCCACCATGTTGATTCTTGCAGGTCTGGTATTGTTCCATTATTGCCGCACTCGGGTAGGTCGTCATCACCTTCCTCCTTGCTCCGTCATCGAGTTTCCCTGCTTCTTTTTCATTTTTTTTCGTCTGCATATTTTTGGATCTGCAGGGCTAGTGATGTCGGATTAAGCTCTGCATCTCGCCTAACTTTCTTGGAATGGAGGCTGCAGTAAGTTCCTCCTTGGGCGCCATGGGCCCTGTTCTCAGGAAGCTCGATCTGCTGCTAGCTCCCGAATTCCGGCTGCGGAAGAGGGTGAAGGACGGAATCGGACTCCTCAAGCAAGATGTAGAAGAAGTAAGCTCCGCCCTCGTGGATCTATCGATGCTGGAAACTCCCAGCCTCAGGGCCAAGTGCTGGATGGAGGAGGCGCGAGAACTATCTTACCATATAGAAGATTTTGTCGACGACTTGACGCTGATCCGCACAGACGCCCGTGCCAAGATAAGATCCGTCAGCAGCCATAGGGTTGGTTGCGTGAAGATTGCTCTGCTTCCGGCGTCGCCGAGGTGCAGCACAAGGGTCGCCAAGATTGCCCAATTGAGGGATCTACTGTGGCAGGCTAGCGAGCGGCTCGAAAGGTACCAGCTTGACGCTTGTTGCTCGAGCCCGAAGCATATGAATATGATCACACAGCACTGCCGGGCTCCGGCGTTGTATGGAGATGCGGCCAATCTTGTGGGAATCGACGACTCCAGGACCAAACTGATTGAAATGCTTACTGGGGAAGCAGAGCAGCAGCTGAAAGTGGTATCCATTGTCGGACCTGCAGGTGCTGGCAAGACCACTCTTGCGAAAGAAATTTTCCGTGAACTTAGAGGCCAATTTGAGTTGCGGGCATTTGTACATGCTTCGCGAAAGATTGACATGAGAAGGCTTCTTGGGAGCATTCTCTCCCAAGTTCAGCCGCACCACCAACTACCCTCTGTTGCTAGTTCGGTGCAGAGCCTCATTGACATTAGTCAGGAACAACTCCAAGATAAGAGGTATTTTGTCTGCCCCTTTTTTTTAACCTTTCTTAGGCGTCAAAGTTATTACAATAGCTTAGTGGACTTATTACTTGATAGTAATATAGTATTATAAGTAGGTTAACAGTTTTGCAAGAGGAAGCCTCTTGTATTGTATCTCAGATCGTACAATCCCAAATACTTGTGGTTTGACTCTACCAGAAGCATGTTGATCAATTTAAAATGGTGTCACTAACTACCTTATTTACAACTGCAACGACTATTATGTGAAATTTTACAGCTGTTACTAGTTTTACTACCTACAGTCTAAGATGCAGAACTATCTTTTCGGGAACACATACCCACACCCTACACTATGTGTAATCTAAGGTGTAGAGCTTAATTTTTTGATTCCTACTAGTCCAACTTGTGCCTCTGTAGTCTGCATGGGTTATTAGTTGTAAGATATAAGTCTTATAGATTCATGGATGAATGTGAGTTGACATAGCAAACTTGTATAGCTCTCTCTCGTTTATTCAAATTCTAACACCATACTTAGAGCATCTCCATGAGTTTCCAAAAAAAAAATGGTAATCAATGAGTTTTCCAAGTGGAAAAAAAAGTTAGGAGCACATTTTGTTGGGTTCCTCCAACCGTTTCCAAAAAGTCGCGCAGAAGGCAATTTTGCATCAGAAATCCCGGACTATTTTCAAATCACACCAACCCCTTTTATACTTTCCTTCTCTCTTGTACATATGCATTGGAACTCTATTCTTACTCTTATTCTTCCCCTCATCCTTCCACCTCCATATTGGCCGATCGATACGTGCACGTATATTTCCGCACGATTGGATTGATTTTCCCAAGTGCGGAAAGATTGGGAGTTGAGATAGGGAGTTGTTGGAGAGTGTTTTTATCCAATCTTGCTAAAAAAAACAAGATTGGGAGTAGGTTTTAGAATCTCTTGGAGATGCTCTTATATAGATACTTTATTATCTCCGTCTGGTTGTTATAGACTTTTACCTGATAAGGCGTACTTGTTATATTAATTTTTTCACAGGTACTTCATTGTAATTGATGATTTATGGGAAGAAACAGCATGGGACATTGTAAGAGGTGCTTTTCCGGAGGGCAATAATTGCAGTAGAATTGTAGCAACTACAGAAAGCATGAATGTAGCTCTTAAGTGTTGCAGTTATATGGCAGATAATATTTTGAAGATGAAACCTCTTGGCATTCAAGACTCTGGATACTTATTCTTCAATCGAGTTTTTGGCTCTGAACAACAATGCCCTGATGAACTGAAAGAAGTTTCATATGGTATCATTAGAAAATGTTGTGGTCTTCCACTGTCCCTCATCCATGTAGCTGGTCTTTTAGCAAGCATAGACTACTCAGAGCTGTGGTACCATGTACATGATCGTTTATGCTCCATTCTTAATAGAAGTAATACAGTTGAAGAGATCCAGAAAAAAATACTAAACCTTAGTTACAATAGTCTTCCTTGTTGTTTGAAGACATGCCTGCTGTATTTCAATATGTACCCAGAGGGTTACATAATGTGGAAGGTTCATCTGGTGAAGCAATGGATAGCTGAAGGTTTTATTAATCCAGCAGAAGGAAAAGACAGAGAGGAAATTGCAGAGGGCTATTTTGAGGAGCTTGTCAATAGGGGAATGGTCCAACCTATGAAAATTGACTACAATGATGAGGTGTTGTCATGTACAGTACACCATATTATATTTGATCTCATTAATCATAATTCCAAGGAAGAGGAATTTGTTGCTGCAATAGATTACTCTCAACCCATAACAGGATTTTCTACAAAGGCCCATCGACTGTCCTTCCGATTCAGTAGTGCCAAATATGCAAAGCAACCAGAAGGAATAGTAATATCACAATTGCGATCAATTGGCTTCTTTGGATTGCTTAAGTGTATGCCTCCAATTGTGGAATTTAAGCATCTCCGAGTTCTAATCCTTGAATTTTGGGGCAGTCATGACAGGCACATGAGTTTGGACCTCTCAAGGATTTGCATATCATTTCAACTGAGATATTTGAAGATTTCAGGTGATATCATGGTTGAACTACCAGCCCAGATGCAAGGGCTACATTATTTGGAAACACTAGAAATAGATGCAAGACTATCTGCAGTTCCATTGGATATTGTCCATCTTCCGGGTTTGTTGCATCTTGGTCTCCGAGCTGCAACAGAGTTACCAGATGGGATTGGCCACATCAAATCTCTAAGTACACTATTGTATTTTGACCTCAGATGTAACTCTGAAGACAATATATGGAGCCTAAGCAAGCTGACAAACCTTCAGCATCTTCATCTAACCTGTTCTGCAGCTTTATCTAGTGACCATCTGAAGAGAAAGCTGATACCCCTAGTTTTTTCTCTTGGGAAATTTTGCAATCTAAAATCTCTCACCCTGACTCCTGATGGGTTAAGAACATCTATTTTCTTTGATATTTGGAGCGGTATCTCCTCTCCTCCCATGTTTCTTCAGAAACTTGAGTTGTTGCCACCAATTTGCTTGTTTTACAGACTGCCCACTCAGATTGGTGAACTGCACAAACTCTGCATTTTGAAAATAGTGGTTAAAGAACTGCAGGGAAATGATATTAGTAACATCTCTGGATTACCTTCCCTCTCAGTTTTCTCACTGTATGTGCGGACAGCTCTGACTGGAACTGTCGTCTTCAGCACCATGGCATTCCCAGCTCTCAAGTATTTCAAATTCACATGTGGTGTGATGAGTTTGGCTTTTCAGGCAGGAGCCATGCCCAATCTTCAAAGGGTCAAGCTTTGTTTCAATGCCCATAGAGGCAAGAACCATAACCGAGTGCTCGATGGCATTGAGCACCTGTTAAACCTTCAGGAGGTCGTTGGACGAATTGGGGTCCTCCCAGGTGTTGATGAATCCGACTGGAGGGTTGTCAAGTTATCGTTTGAGGATATCATTAGAAAGCATCCAAGATGTCCTAGATTTAACTCACAGCTGGTAGATTTCATAGAGGAAGAATATCCTCCTTTAGATAAGTTTCATCTGAGGCTACATGGAGGTTCATCAAGTGAACATGAGATTGTAGAGAGAGCTTGCGCAGAAGATATGGACAAACACATTGATAGCAGGTATGGGTTCTTATTTGGTAATTTGTCTCTCATGGACCATCTTTACTATTACTAAGTGGAGGTTCCCAACAGAGCCTCCACGTCTCATAAGACACGCTAGAAAATAAGATAAATTCTAGAAAAATCTCAAAAAAACAAGATTGTAGTAGTTAGCAGTGGTCGTGGTTGCACGTGCGGCGGATTGGATCAGGAGTGATGGTGGTGGAGGCTGAGGAGTGGGGAGAGGAAGGAGGGGGAACTCCTTGCTGACATCTCTGCACCAATTAGCAATGCTGGTGGATCCGCTGTCAGATCAAGTGGGGACGGTGGTGGAGGCAGGCGGGGGAGCATGGAGGGGAAATGAGGTGGAATATCTCACTGGCCTTGCTATGGTGGTTCCAGGCAGCGGCTGTGGCATAATCAGTTCTGGCGGAAGGCAGAAGCACTTTGCTTGAGGAAGCCGGTGTCGTGGTCAAGAGCGAGAGGAACTGGAGACACGTGTGGGAGGTAGACCAAGATGATAAACCGATCTTCTTTTGATCGCTGTGGGGCCAACATTTTAGATTGAGATGGAGGCCTGATGTATCTGGACGGGTTTCAATTTAAATCTAAACAGAGAGTGCCCTCTATGTAATCACTTATCTATATCTATACCTAATATTAAATAGCGAAGGGATCCTTCCAACCGTCTTTTTTACTTCCCAAAATGCCCTTACGCCCTTCATGACTCATGACTCGTACTCATACAAGTTAGAACAACTCACGTTCAACAATAATACGGATTCCGATTCTAAGATGTATTGGGGGCTGCTGCAACACCCAAGCACATTAACAACCTACCTTGAGCCTGGCAGGAACTGAACAGTAGGTACTATTTGTGCGAATAGTGTGATGATGACCTTCCTCCCATCACATAGGCCCTAATTTGTTCGTATCCAATATTCCTGTATCTATCTATTATATTATGGGTTCAAAAATGTAAAGTAGCTCATTTATGACCAATCAGATTTCTATCTATGCTCCAGTGATGGCATTAGCTTTCCAGCCAAACTCCAATTACCAAGTTTAGGTTTTAGGGTTCATGATGATTTCATTGTAGATTTGTAGGTTACTGGATCAGAATAGGAGGACGGTAGTTGGTAGGGGGCCGTGTTAGTTTTTTTTTATCTGTTTTTAGGGGTTTGCAGATCTGATAGTGCAGTGAGTCAATAAAATACTGGCAACAAGAGGTGGCCACATTACTAACTGGTGCAGATTAATCTTCAACTAAGGGTCACAAAATTTGACCACACACGTCTCAAAAAAAAAAACATTGACCGCACACCTTTTTGGAAAACATAGGCGTGATCCATGTCAAACATGGCCAATTTTCTTGTCATGTCTCAAAATGTCTTAAAGGACTAAGACTATGTTTTTTCCAGGTTATCTAGAGAATTCGATCTTCCACCAGCTTCTGGGACTTCATATCACCATAAATCAGGTAGCTTTGTCAGAGGAGTGGCACATTAGGGAGCACATAAATATCAGTTTCAGTATATCCATTTTTTTTTGCTCGGATCTGATTATTATTTAAAATCTGCTATAAATTTGACAGAACAGTCACATGTTCTTAGGTTGAACAACATTTACTTGTGCTGTGGTTAGTGAAGGTCTATTTTAGGGCATGTCAGATAAGGATTTCAAAAGTCACTGTTCAATCCGGCACTCCTGTTCCACTATGTGGTTCTATATCATCGAAGTTTTTTTTTGAAATTGGTTCTATATCCAAGTTGGCCCTATGGCTTGTGACTTTTGTGTATCAAAAATTTCCTTTGATGGTATTCCAAATATAAGCGTACATAGTTGTCTTATTTTACAGAATAACTATTGTTTCCTATAATTGACAGATGAATATATTAAACATCATATGTTGGTAAGCATATTACGGGATGAAAGTGCAGAGCCAACAACTCTTGACTTATCACTTTTGGAAGACATCACAAATAATTTCTCTACCGAGCAAGAGATTGATCAAGGTGGATTTGGGATGGTTTACAAGGTGCTTCTAGTTCTCAATTACAAGTTGATAAACATTATGTATCAAGGCTTTGCCCAAATACTTGTCCTTATACTAACACAAGTGTTGATAAACAGGGAATCCTTGGAGATGGATTAATTGTTGCCGTGAAAAGACTATGTGGGCCGCGTGGAACTGTTGATGGAGAATTGGCTTGTGTGGTTGATTGTTTAATGACAGTTAAGCACAGCAATATAGTACGGTTTTTGGGCTACTGGGCACACACGCAACCTATAGAACAGGAGGGGGAAAACTTGCGTATAGAACAGCAAGATATATTGCTGTGCTTTGAGTATCTGCACAATGGAAGCCTCAGTAGGCACATTACTGGTATGCATATTAGTTCAGAATTATTATTGGTATTGATAATAATGAGATGTAGTTGATTTCGGTCTTACCTATTAAACAAAAGGTTTAGTTCAGCAGGATTACAGAACTCATTTCGTCTGTGAAATAAGCATAATGCGATCAAAAACTAAAATTTAAAGATCAACTATTGTTAGATAGTGTTCGTGGGTATTAGGACTTGCTTTTGCTGATGGCAAAGAAGACATCACGTTCTAAGAATTATCTTTACTTATGCAGAAGAATCCTGTGGGTTTGAATGGCACACACGCTATCAAATAATGAAAGGAATATGTCAGGGCTTGGATTATCTTCATGCAAATTGTATTGTCCATTTGCACCTCAAACCAGAGAATATACTACTTGATGCTAACATGGTGCCAAAAATAACGGACTATGCTTATTCAAGATTGTTGGGTGAAGATAGGCAAACTGCAACTAAAGAAATTGTTACATTGCTGTAAGCTAATTATATGTTGAATAAATACTCCATTGTTTTCCTAAAGATCATCTGAGTTTATTCTCTAGATCCCTATTTATTCATTGTTAATTTTCGTGTAGGGACTATATGGCACCAGAATATCATGAAGAAGGAGCAGTCAGCTTAAAATGTGACATATACAGTTTGGGTGTTATAATCATGCAGATGGTGACAGGACACAAGGACCACCCTAACATAAAAAGTGTAAGAACAATTTTATCAAATCACTTAAGATTTATCCATGTCCAAAATCTCACTTTCATTTTCATTTTGGATGTTATCCTTCTTGAGGGCATATTTGACACTTTACAAATTTAGGGGAAACTTGGTTACTCAAAAACACTATATACGGGCATATGATTGAACTTATTTAGGCAAGTCCTCTTTTAGGAGTTCCATATTTAGTAGTTTTACTTACTTTAGCATCTCTTTTGAGTCTCAGTCATTAATGTGGGGACTTTTGCTTAGTAGCATATTTCTAACAACATTTAACCAACCTATGAACTGATTTGGCAACAAAAGAATGATTGAAACACATATGTGGCTTGAAGTTACCATTTGTATCCTTACACCCCCCCTCCCCAACACCGTCTTTAGAGGCGACAATGGAGGCGCTATTGCTGGCACCACTTATGCCCCCTCCACAGCGCAGGCAATGCAGAGGCTGCCACAACGCCTAGCCAATGATGGCAAAGGTGGTGGCAGTGGTCATCATCCGCGTTTCCTCTCCTCTCCTTCTCACCCCTAACTTGCAATTGGATCAAGGCATATTGCCATTGGTTGGATCCATGTGGGTCTAAAGACAAACAATGTTTCTTCAGTGCAAAGCAGGCGGTGTCCCATGGTGTTAGGTTTGGTAGCAGCCACCGAGTTGCCGCTCGTGGTGGTGACCACTGAAATGCAATATGCATGGTTGGGGGTGTGACGATGGATGGAGCCAGGGCTCTTGGCTATGGCCTCCTCTTCCCAGCCTTCGCATCCTAGCGCTATGGGGCGCAGGGAGGTGTGTAGCATTGGTGGATGGCTATCCCTCCTCATCTTCCTTTGACACCACAGACATGACAACAGTGACTCATGACATGGTCAGATTCCTTGGTTAGTGCTTGACGAGCCATGTTTTCACTGGCATCGCCTCATGGGCTGGTCTGGTGCTCATATAGTGTATCTTATCTTGGGTAGGTCGTAGTGGTCTGTGTCCATGCTGTTTGGTCATCTAGTTGCGCTCTCTTGGTAGTGGTGGTAGCCTTGTGCTGATTAAGAGAGGTGATGGGTGGTGTATCTGTTGACATTATTACATGGGATGACATCTTCTGGCAATTCGTTCGCCTCACCTTGCCAGGGATGGAGAGTAGATTTGGCTTGCTTGACTTGGTGGAGAAAAGGAAAAAGTTAGGTGGATATTAGTATGCACGGGGCGTGCTGTTGGATCACGAGGTTTGTTGTATAGTGAATCAGATCTTACTTGTAATAGGACTCGAGTGGTGTGCTATTAGGACTTCAAATCCTATTAGGACTTAAGTGTAGAATCCTACTAACAGTAGGACTCCTACTTGTATATATGGGGGCTTTGAAGTGGACTTGAGTGTAGAATCCTATACAAACAAGGTATATAAACAAGGGGTGGAGGCCATAGGTATCATCGTCCAAGGTTTGGAAGAAGCAATTAGGAGCACTCAAGAAAATTAGGCTAGATAGTTCTATTACACTAGATTCTTGTATATGGCAAGAATCAATGAACCCTAGAGGGTTAAGTAGGGTTGTGAGAGAATGACAATCACTTGTACTCTTTTGGAGCTGTGTTTATAGAATTTACCAAAATCCTAATATCTTGTTGTGATTGCTTCAACATCGTCATCTACGGTGCAAGCTTGTGTCATACCCGCAATATGTTTCAAAGATTTGTGGACTGTTATGCATAACTAGGATATTAGATTCTAATAAGTGGTATCAAGGTAAGGCTAGATTGATTTGATTTTATGAGAAGGTTGACAGGGCTAGGAAGCATAAAATTAAGACGATGTCAAGAACGTGGAATCAAGTTGAGAAAATTTGATGACAAAAAAAAATTTAGTGTGTGGTATTGTGTGGTTACAAATGTGCACACAGCCCCGTCCGTGAGATCTGCTCGAATGTGCCAAAACCGGGTCGACATGCCACTGCTAGCCTGTGGCCTGTGGGACAGTCCACGTCAACTGCACGCGGCCACTATCGACCCGACACGCACAGATCCAGCAGCCCCTATGCTAGGGTAAAAACCCCGCCACGTGGATCTGACGTGCCACCACGAACTGGCCACGGCAGCCTGCTGAGCGTGCGTAGCCACCATGACCATCGGGAGAGTGATGAAGATATACCTCTGGCATAGTGCAATTTTCTTTAATGTCACCCAATCACGCTGCTGTATGATTTCGAATTATTTGTCTACTACACTGCGTACTTCTTGCTTTTACAAGTGTAGTATCAGTTTTATGGTATTCTCGCTGTATCAGCTGAGTATTTGGTATATTATATGAAATTCAATGCACCCCTGACGTTAATCACATCTCTGTTATACAAATTGATAGGTGCTTGAAGGCTGGAGGAGTAGGTTGGAATCTGATACATCAGGGAGACACACAGCGTTGGAAAC